TGGATCGGACACTGTGAACCCACCATGCTCAGACCCGGATGGATCGTGGCAGGGGGAGTGAGAACCACCCTTGCCCTTCCTGACTGAAATGCAAACCCCGCGGGCCTGGCTGCCACCAGAGACCAAACTCCCCTGTTGCCCGATGCCTTTAGGTGCACGACAGCCACAGAACCGTCTTTGAAAGAAATGAGTGTCCTGAGTTGGTCGGGAACATCTTTCCACAGAGTTAAATTGAACTGCTACTTACCCCCACTACACTGAAAAATAAAATACCAATCTTGATGCTTCCAGAGTGTTCCCTGCAGCACCCCTGGGGGCAGGAAGGCAGGATGCTCTTCCCAACACCTTCCTCACCTTTTTTTTTCTTCTTCTTCTTCTTCAAATTTTGACACAGCCCTGAGTTTAGCTGGTTTCATTTGCAGAACGTGTTGTGTCTGATTCTTGTTTCTTTCAGTAGGTTTTAGAAAATATACAGGTTCAACTCAGGGTCAAGTTGGTCTTTTTTTTTTCTGGAAAAAAAAACCACTTTGGTTTGTTCCACTGTTCAGTAACAAAATTAATGTTTGGGCCTGGCTGAGGGTTCAGCGAGCGGGTGTGGGCTGTTTTGGTCACAGAGGCACAGTGGACGTCCTTGATGGGGACTGAATTTCTTCTGTTCCAAGGGAGAATTGCAGGTCTGTTAGGAAACGCCTTCTCAGCTCCTGAGGGCTGCCACCACATTCCCTGAGAGCGTTGCCCTCAGCTCCCAGCCAGGTGGTCAATGGTCCTCTGTGTGGAGGGGTGGAGCCGCGACGGCAGAGGGGACCAGGAGGTGTGGTCAAGAGGCATGCCAATCAACTTACACAGCAGAGGAGCGAAGCCTGCTGCAGGGGAAGAGGCTGGAAGGCGTCTGGAGGATGGATACAGTACCAGCAGCCCTGGACCCACAGTGACAATACTGAGCTGTATGAGTCAAAACCCATTATCTATACCACCTCTAGGGCTCAGGGAATGCCAGGGAAGAGGGGGCGGGAAGAATGGAAAAGTAGGGCGGGGCGGGCAGGGGCCCCGCAAAACGGCCTCCACTGGACATGATACGGCTATTGTGTTTATGAGCTCAGCGAAGCCGAGGTGACCTGCACAAGGCTGGGTTGTTAACATTTCATGGAGGGTGAAGCACTCACAAGCTTCCACCCCTTCCTGAGGGACAGCTCATGGCAACTGCCATTTTATTTGGTGGTGTAACTACTGATAAGTTGCCTATGCCAAAGTAAACACGTTTCCCTCCCTCACATATGTATACTCGTGCAAGAACTATAATTCCACTTGGTAAGTCACAGGCTCAAAAGCCGTGAACGTGGTGGGGCATTGCTGGGAAGGAGACGGACAGGGAGGGGAGAAGTAACGGGGAGAAAAGATTGACATTTATTATATCCATATATACATTAGACACATGTAATATACATTAAATACACGACATACATGTGGGAAGCTGTCAAAAATAAGTTAGCAAGCAAACAAAACAAAATAAGATCCAGGCATTGGAGAAAGCCATGAGAACACATCGCGGGTAAGTACAGAGAACGGAGCATTTTCATGTGTATCCCATCTCAGCCTTTTTACCCCCTTCTATCAACAGGACCTGGAAGAGCATAGCTACTCATAACCATTCAGTCTACTAAACAATAGACCTCTTGAGGGTACAAACCTGCGTACACTTATTCACGACAGAATTCCCAGCAACTGGCTCTGTGCCAGGCTGAGTTGTTGCTTTAAAAACTATCTTTCGAATAAATATATATTTTTTAACTTTTACACACCATGAACAACAAACAACCCTTCATCCTAAAGACATCTTGTCCTGGCAACTTTCTGGCGACCTTTGGCAATGACTGGCTGTCTTCAGGCTTCTGCTTCTTCATCTTTAAATGGGGATGCTGAGATGATAACCATTTTCCTCCCGTGGGAGGTGGAGGACCACAGAGCAGTCACACACGACAGTTGGAAAGGGCTTTGCACAGTGAAGAACTGAGCTGGGGGCTGTGAACATGCATGGACCTTGACCTGAATGGATGAAGTCATAAAAAAACCTGCAGATGGCACAGATGAGCGAAGACTGCCGAGTTCAAGCACAAAGGTCCCAGATGTGAGGGAGATGGTGACTGTCCAGATGAGAGAGTGGACCTTGGAAGAACAGGGCAGAGAAAGACTCAACCCTGCACCCTTTGCTTGGAACCTGGGCAGAGAGAGCTGGTCCCCTCACTCTCCCCTCTCTCCCATCAGACAGTCAACTGACCTAGACATGCGAGGGGACTATTGCATTGTCCTTTGACCAGTTCCTGACTTTTCACTGTGGGAACTTTGCAAATGATTTGCATTTAGGTTTTTAGGAGAGAGGGAGAGAGAGAGAGGGGAGGGTGGGGGAGAGAGAGAGAGAGAATATTTGTGTGTGCAGTCAAAAGACAGCTTGTGGGAGTTGGTTCTCTTCTTCCACCACATGGGTCATGGGAATCAAACTCAGGCTGCCAGACTGGCAGCAAGTGCAACCTGCCAGTCCTCTAAACAGTCCGTTGCTAGGAGATCACTCCTGAGTAGACAGAAGCAGCCATGTCCACCCAGGGTGTGGACAAAGCACACAGTCCTGTGCCCTTGGCCCCTCAGAGAGGATAGGCCTCTCTGAGCAAGCATCTCCCTTCCCTCCAACTTCAATTCGATGCTTATATACTGGAAGCAAGAGCAGTGTGCAGTTCTGCCTGCCTGAGCCAGCGCAGCAGCGTGCAGGCAGCCATTGTGCCTGCTGGCCCTTGTGCTATGGGCTGAGCCCTGTGATGTCTGGAGGGTTGCCCGGAGAGTTCCAGGTCACTGGACCATGGTCATTGGAGAGTTCCAGGTCACTGGTGAGACTGTCAAACATTCCAAAGGTGGTGTGTGGCAAGAAAAAGGCCATCTTGAGGAGGGTACAACCTCACACTGTACCAAGTGGCCAGATTCCAGGCTCAAATTGGGGATGCAGAGCTGCGTGGCCAACTGGCATGTGCCACCTGTGTTGATTTCCTCTCAGACAGGGCCTATCTTAATTCCTTCCTTTTGGGTGACTCCCATGGTGGGCACTAGGGGTACAGTTCATCCTTTGCTTAGAGGCTGTCTGGAGGAAGACAGAAGCAGTAGCCTGGGTAGCCACTTTTGAGGGCCGGAGAGGATGTGGGATGAAGGAGTGTGGGTAGCCCCTCTGTCCCTGTTCTGCCCCTCTTGGATTACCTGTTGGCACATGACGTCTTAACTTAGGTGTTGAAGGTGAGGCCCCGTTGTATAGGTGACGTGGGGAAGAGGTGCCAGACAGAGAACAGCGAGGGATGGGACAGGGCAGGGAAGAGGGCACCCTAGGCTTTCATAGATGGAGCACCATGAGGGCTCCCCAGTCTGGTCTTGCAGGTGACTTGGGAGTACCAGACGCTCTTGTGAGCTGTTGGAGGGCTGGGCTTTCATGAATCATGCCATCTGTGGTCTAAGGGCCACCCTAGAGGAGGACAGGGAGATTGCCTGACAAGTTCAGACTGTTAGCAAGCCCGGATGTGTGTGTGTGTGTGTGGGGGTGGCCATCATGATAACAAACAGCCTGTGTAGAAAGAGGACACTAATATCTGCTTAGAGACCATCACTACGCATGTCTGTCTGAGACCTAGATCCTGGCCAGTCACTTTGCTCCACTGGGTCTGCCTGGATCCTATGGCCCAGTCTCGCCTTGGACCCCACACCTTGTGCAGGATCCTACATGCTGTCCTCTTTGTCTCTAGAGTTCCCTGCTTGCATTACATGGCTTGTATTAACTGATCTCCTGGGACTCTCTAGCCCTTAGGTGCCACCCAGAAGTTCAGGGAAGTCCCTACATCATCCACACCAGTGCCAACACTGCAGGCATCATCCACTCCAGTGCCAACACCACAGGTATCATCCAGTCCAGTGCCAACACTGCAGACATCATCCAGTCCAGTGTCAACACTGCAGACATCATCCACACCAGTGCCAACACTGCAAACATCATCCACTCCAGTGCCAACACTGCAGACATCATCCACTCCAGTGCCAACACTGCAAACATCATCCACTCCAGTGCCAACACTGCAGGCATCATCCTCTCCAGTGCCAATGCTGCAGGCACCATCCACACCAGTGCCAACACTGCAGACATCATCCACACCAGTGCCAACACTGCAAACATCATCCACTCCAGTGCCAACACCACAGGTATCATCCACTCCAGTGCCAACACCACAGGTATCATCCACTCCAGTGCCAACACCACAGGCATCATCCAGTCCAGGGACAACACTGCAGGCCTCCAATGCTGCTAAAGACAAAGTTTCAGAACAACACCCTCAATTCAAATTCATCCCTCACACTGATTGGGCCACAGGAATAGAGAGTGGGGTATAAAGAGATCCAAGTAGTTTCTGTAGAAATATGAAACAAGGATGATCTATATATGTTTTTCTTTGGGTTCACGTTGTTATTTGGCTTCTCTAAGCTTGCGAACTATAGGCTTAATGTCCTTTGTTTATGGCTAGAATCCACTAATAAGTGAGTACATGCCATATTCATCTTTTTTGGTCTGGGTTATCTCATTCAGTAAAGTGTTTTCTATTTCCATCCATTTGCATGCAAAATTCGAGATGTCATTGTTTTTTGCTGCTGAGTAGTACTCTAATGCATATATATTCCACACTTTCTTTATCCATTCTTCCATTGAGGGGCATCTAGGTTGTTTCCAGGTTCTGGCTATTTCAAATAATGCTGCTATAAACATAGTTGAACAAATGCTTTTGTAGTATGATTGGGTATATTCCCAAGAGTGGTATTGCTGGATCCTGAGGTAGATTGATTCCCAATTTCCTGAGAAACCACCACACTGATTTCCAAAGTGGTTGCACAAGTTTGCGTTCCCACAGGGTGTAAGATACTTGAGTCTCCCATCATTTATACAAGTCGTTGGTGGCTTTCTGATGTCCACTCTTCCCTTCCAGGTGACATCTGTGCCTAGTGGAATAAGTCTACATAAGGAATAAGTACTCCAGTCTCTTTGGCAGCAAGGGAGGCTGCCTGACTCAACGCTGATGGATGAGGTGTGAAAAGCATTGTGTGGCCGATACAGGAAATGTCCTTCTTCTCCTCTTTCTTCTGGCTGTTTGGAATGTAGACACAATGGCTGGACTTGAGCAGCCATCTTGGACGGTGAGTTGATGTGCCAAGTTGGTAAATTACAAAAACATGACACCGTGAAGGAAGCACTGCATCGGCCCCGGGCTGTCTGCTTCTGGGTGTCCTTTTTGTAAAAGAGAAAATCTACTTTAAGCCACAGTTATTTCTGAAGAGGCTGGCAGAGTTCTACCAATGAAATGGGCACAGCCATGACCTCACCCTTTCCTTAGAGGAATGGGGGCTTTAAGAGAATAATTCCAAGGTCAGAGGAGAAGCACTGGAGGCCTCCAGGGCGACACAGTTTCCTGGCTAAGGCTGCTTGTGCCTGGCTGAGCTCCTCCTTCTTGGCCAAAGCAGTGAGAGCGATGTACATGGGTGATGGGGAGAGGGAGCGGCTGCCAACTGTCTCCTTCTGAAAAGAGACCCGGTTTTACATGGACAAGATGGAAGGACTGCTTGTTCCCTCTGGAAAGTTCTGTTGAATGACCAACAGACACACTCTCATATTAATGGGAAATTCCTCCTCTTGTTTACGAAATCATTTTAGAGGAGAGAGAGAGAGAGAGAGAGAGAGAGAGAGAGAGAGAGAGAGAGAGGAAAGAAAGAGAAGAGGGAGAAGAGGGGAGGGAGGAGGGGGATAGAGAGGGGAGAGAGGCTGCTAGCTAGACAAATCCCAGACGATTATTTATGGACATTTTTGAGCCGCCAATTTTAATGTGGAGCAGTCGTCTGGAGGCTGCTCCCTGACACCGGTGAACGCTCCTGTACTAAGAATAAATTTATAAATGTCTTTTAGAAGAGTCAACAAACTCAATAACCCCACAGACAGTCTCTTACATCCCAAACCAGAACAGAGACACTCGTTTTGGTCTTTCATTGTGGGAGGGCCGGGCAGGCCAGGTGGCTGGCTCAGATGATGTGATTCTCTGGCTAGGGACAAGGTGACAGGCCACACTGGTGTATTTCCACTTCTCCATAGGATAGCTACTGGCTCATTCCCTAGGGAACATCTATGCTACTGATGAGAGAACACCAGGAGCCCCTAGGTTGTTAGACCAGAGAGCACTCTAGTATAGACCAGAGTTACTGGCACCGGCTCCTGGGTCTCTGCCCCTTGTGGGGAGAGGGTCCTGTCCCTGACCTCTTCAAGGATCTTGGATCACTTCCAGGTCAATGACTTTTAAGGTAGTTTGATATCTGGGGTAATGCCTGAGGCTCAAGAATCACTTTGATCACGCTTAGGGCAGCAGTCGTGGTGTCTCATTTGTGGACGCCCTCTTGCCTGCAGGGACACACAGTTTTGATTGAAAATGAACACACAAAACTTAGAGGCAAAAAAAAAAAAAAGGTTGAAAACGTCAAACACATCTTTGATGGGAAATGTAGTTCTGCCGAGGGAGGGATGCTCACCTTAGAGAGCCCTTATCTTCCCTTCCCTATCAGGACTGCTTCTGAAGCATGGTGGCCAGGTAGGGGACTCACAGTGCCTGCACAGTGTACTCTACTGTCCCATGGCTGTCCCAGGTCCCCAGCTTCTTATGTGTGTCCTTGTCTGCTAGTGGCCAACCAGTGCTCAATGACAACCCATGTCTTTTTGAGACGTGATAGTGTTGACTGGCAACCCACTGGGTAGGCTTTCCTGGTCCGGCGGACCTCACCGCTGTCACACAGTTGACTGGGAACCCTGGTCTCCTTGGCTCCTTATGTTAGCCCTACCATGTGGCTGCTCCATCTGCCTCAGCCTCTGCATTCTTAGTCCCATTCAGCAGCATTCCCTATTCACTTGCTGGAATGGCAAGAGCCAAGCAGCAGGTGCTCAGCACCCACATCTGGCGGCTAGAAGGGCAAAGAAAGTTGCCAGCAGGGTCTTGCTTTGGTAGTCATGGATCCCTGGCTACCTTCAAGCTGCCTTCCCATGTTTTGTTTTCCATGGCCACGATTCTGGCATTTCTCCCTTTTCTCTTCTTATAACAGTTTTTGGGCTGGGGACCACACTCTCGCCCTTCACACGCTAAACATGTGCTCTCCCACCCAGTCAGCCCCCAGCAGGCCTCCCTTTCTTGGTAATGACCTCAGATCTGAATCAGGAGTACCTAACTGCTTATTTATACTTCTTGACTTCTTTGACGACTTCATGTCTGAACACAGTTCCATTCTGAGCTTAGAAGATGGGATTGACAATATATACAATTATATATGTGTGTGTGTGTAGACATTTTGTGTGTGTGTGTGTGTGTGTGTGTGTGTGTGTGTGTGTGTGTGTGTATACTTTTGAAGGGACACTATTTTCTTCTATCTCATCTCTTAGGGTTCTCTCTTTGCTGGACCACTCCCTGAACTACCTAACCAGTCTCAGGATGGGGGACTAGCTGGGTGTATGAGCATCATCCCACTCAGTGGTTCCTCTGAGTCTCTGGCTTCCTGCACAAGTCTGCAGGCTACAGGGCTGGCCTTCCCTCCAGCTGGGAGAAACTCTCCCAGCAAGGTCCACCTTTTCTTTAGTTGAAGATCATGTTCAGAGTCCACCAGCCCTTGTTCTCTCAAGAGAAGGAATCTGGAGTCAGAACTTCTTCTCTGCAGCAAGCTTAACTCGGAGCTCCTCCTGCTGCAGTCTGGCCCCACCTCATAGGCGCTCACCAGTCTCCAGTGCTGGGTTCTGAAGTGGCTGGATAGAGCTACCGGTCCTGTCTGTACAAGGAAAGGAGCATGGACGACAGGACTTGTTCACGATCACAGTTAAGCAATCATTTGATTGATGCAAGGCAGAAATAATAAACCTTGGAATTATTTTTCTAATTCAGAGATTTTAGTTTCTTTTTCTTCACCATAAGCAAACCTCCAATGTTTATTTTAGGGAATCTGGGAAGAGGTCGAAAGAGAAAACTCAGGCTTTGATGTGACATTCCAAAGACAGGCACCATCCTTACTTCAGCCATTTTTTTCCTCATCTTTCATCTGTAAATAATGTTGGGCTTTCTTTTTAGATTCATAGGTAGATTTTAAAGCTAGTAATAGTTCAAAGTGGTTTTAAAAGACCAGCATTCTGAGGTGTAGCGAGGTACTGAGCATCCCCTTCCTATGTCCACACGTCTCTTGCCCTGGTGGATTATCACCAGGGCAACCTGCTTGTGTGCCCATCCCTTCGGAGTTTCTTGAACACAATCTCCTGTTTCTTCATGGACTACATCACCAGGATGCCTTGTTGTACACACGAGAGCATTCCCGAAGTCTGGACACTCTGCTTTCCTCCCATCTCTGGGCCTGTCTGGGTCAAGCTTTAGCTATAAGAGGGATCTTTGAACTAGGGGAGCGGAGAGTCTTGCCATTTTCTTGTCTCTCCAGGTTAGAGTCTCATCCAGAGTGAGTGATACATTCTATTGGCATCTCACACAGGGGACCCTGAAGGGTATCCTCTCCAGGTTATGGGCATCATAATAACATGACTCATTTCTAGGAAGGGACATGGACAGACCCAGGGCTGTTCCAGCCCAGATCCTCCATTTTTCAAGTAGTGCATTGCCAGCACACACTACACAAGCTCTTAAGAATTAGGTCTAGGGAGTAGGGAGAACTGAGTCTATCCTGATCCACTCAGCGAGCCTGTCCTCTGGTCGCATGATTCTGATTGGTTAAGACTTTCCTCCCAGCATGGCCAGGCGAGCCAGCCTTCTGCCTCTGGGCTTGCTGTGCAGTCGGGATATAAACTTGGTCATTTTCTCACCACGTGGAGCTACTCCCCAACGCTGTCAGGAAAGAAGTGATCAAAATTCACAGAAGTGGGGGTGAGACCCACCTTCCTGCGTTATGGGAGTCTGAACTCCATTTCTGTCGCCGTGTGGATTTGAGCTTTTAGCCGTCAGGGAGGCCAGAGCCCGTGCGGTGGACAGACATTCTGGAGGGGCAGCGGGTAGTGGTAGTTGCAGGTTCTGGAGCCAGCCTGGCTGGGCCACGTTCTAACCTCACCTCCTAGGCTATCCCTCTCCCTGCCCATCACCGCATCACTGAGTGACATGCCGTGACTGAAGAAGTTGATGCGGGAGGAATGAAACCCAGCTCTGAGCAACAGCAAGCTGTTCACAAACTGTCACATTTGACAGATGGTGTCGACACTCTTGCCAGCTTCATGTTCACCCCACCTGATCCCTTCCTCCCGTCACTCCCCTGAGGCTGCAACAGTCAGCATCAAGACGGAAGGTGTCGTCGTTGTTAGGGTTTCTATTGCTGTGGAGAGACACCGTGACCACGGCAGCTCTTATAAAGGAAGACATTTAACTGGGACTGGCTTACAGTTTCAGAAGTTTAGTCCATTCTCGTCATGGTGGGAAGCATGGCAGCATGCAGGCAGACACGGTGCTGGAGAAGGAGCTAAGAGTTCTACATCTGGATCCACAGGCAGCAGAAGGAGACTGTGTGTTCCATGCTGGGTGTAGCTTGAGCACATGATTCCTCAAAGACCACCTTCATGGTGACACACTTCTTCCCACAAGGTCACAGCCACTCAACCAAGACCACATATCTTCACAGTGCCACCCCTAATAGCCAAGCATTCAAACACAGGAGTCTAAGGGAACTGTTCCTAGTCAAACCTCCACAGAGGGAAGCAGCCGTTGGTGAGATTTTTCAGTTAACACAGTGGAAAGTCCAAGGGCTGGGCCCATGAATAAAAGGTGTGTAGCTTGTGGTGAGATGTGGAACCTTCCTGGGGTGAGCTGAAAACATCGGCCTCAGCATAGAGGAACCATCTTTGCCTCATTGAGAGTCCCTCACTGAGGAGGACTACCTGTCAAGATGGCCTCCCCAATAGCAGAGGAGCAGCTGGTTTGTTTGTCTGTTTTCTTAATCTCTGTGGCAGCTTGTTGTAGGGTTGTGGGGGACATTCAGGGAGATTAGAAAAGTTTCTTACCTACCATACTGCTTCTGGTTAACAGTCATGGTCACAGTGCCCGTGAGGTTTCATCAAGGCCTCTCTGCTCAGCTTGCAGTGGCTGCTGTCTGTGTTCACAGGACGCTCTCCATGTGGGGCTGTGACCGAA